GTAACTGTGTTTTCTATCTCTTACGTTAAAATGCCGGGTGATATCGCACTCACCACTGTATATATATAATATATATATATATATATATATATATATATATATATATATATATATATATAATATATATATATATGAATTATAATGTTACTATAGTTGGGCCGCCGAACAGATAGAATCCAAATACTGCGTGATCGTAGCGTGATCACTGAGTGTCGGAGAGTTGCATAGTTGTGATTCGCTGTCCGCAGACGTACATGCGTTTGGGACCGAACGGGAGAAGCCGTGTACACAACGCACCATATTAAATAAAATCAGTTTGTGTTAGATAATTATCGCTTGTTTTAAATATGGATGGAAATACTCTTTCGCCTCCAAGAAAAAGGTCAAAAAAAAACAAAATTTAGTGTTGAAGAAAAATGTGTTATTTTAAATACATATAAAAAAGCATCTGAGGAGTTAAAAGCAGAGAAGGGCTGCGAAGGTGTTATTAAATTCACTGCTGAAGCTACAGGTAAAATTGTTAATATTGTTATGTTATTAATAATAATAATACTAATTTTAGGTATAAACAAATCATCTGTTTATAATATTTTAAAAGAACATCGCCAAAATAATGGTGAATTCAAACCTCCAAAACCTTACCAAAGGTCTAAAAAAGTGCTTGATGAAATTACCAATGAACATAAGAGCATGATTCGACGAATTGTTCACAATTTCTTTTTACAAAATGAACTTCCCACGGTTCAGAAAATTATGCAAAAAATTTCAGAAAACCCGAACATTCCAAATTTAAAGAAAACTACTTTGAAAAAAGTTTTGAAATTAATTAATTTTCGGTGAGTACAATTTTAATACCAACTAACTAATCTTCTCTAAACTGGCTGAAAAACTTCGGTCGATGGCCTTTTGGTACATAGTATCAATAAAGTATAATTCTCTCTCTAATAATAAACCTTTTGTCTGGACTGATTCATTCTTGTTTTAGGTTTAAAAAAAGATGTAGAAATAGTGTGTTAAAAGAAAAAAATGAAATTATATCGTGGAGGCGACGATACTTACGATCCATAAGACAATATATGCAGGAAGACCGAGATATTTATTATTTGGATGAAACTTGGGTGAACGCTGGTCATACTGTTGACAAAGTCTGGACTGACATGTCAATCACCAGTGCTCGACAAGCATATGTTGAAGGCCTTTCTACAGGATTGAAACATCCTTCTGGGAAAGGCAAACGACTTATTGTTTTACACATTGGATCTAAAAATGGATTTGTGGAAAACGGACTGCTTTTATTTGAATCCAAAAAAAATGGTGACTACCATGAAGACATGAATTCCAACCTTTTTGAAGAATGGCTGCAAAGGGTTTTGCCAACTTTAGCTAAAACGGCAGTTATTGTCCTAGATAATGCCTCCTACCATAGCAGAAAATTTGAAAAGATACCAACTAGTGCTATGCGAAAAGCTAATATCCAAGAATGGTTGCGACAAAAAAAATATTATATTTACTGATGACATGGTCAAAGCGGAGTTACTAACGCTAGTAAAAAGTCATCCGATAGAACAAAAGTATGTGGTCGATGAGATGATTAAGTCATCAGGTAGATGTGTGCTTAGATTGCCCCCTTATCACTGTGAACTAAACCCCATTGAGCTAATATGGGCACAAATAAAGGGTGAAGTTGCAAGAAAAAATACCACATATAAATTAAATGACGTCAAAGTACTTTTCAGCGAAGCACTGAATAATGTTACATCGGATTCCTGGAAAAATGCTATCAACCATGTAGATGGCATCATGTCCAAGATGTGGGAACTAGATTTTGTTGTAGAACAGCAGTTAGAATCATTGGTTATTAATTTAGGTGACGACGAATCTTCATCCGAGGACACCGATAGTAATTAATTTATTAATTAAGAATAAAGGTAACGTCTTTTTGTCATGTTTTATCTATTTTTTTTTATTTAAAACGCCCAACTTAAAAAAACTTCAATTTAGTCGAATTCGGGTTAAGGCTGAAAAACAATACTTGAAATCCGGGACTTTTCAATGAAAATCGGGCCATTTTTTTTAAATATAGAACTTTAATATCATCATTTTATTGATTATTTAACTTGCATTATTTGCGGCTTCAAACTGATTACTCACATAAAATAAATTTTTACATAATCATATTGCAACGCAGCAGATTTGATTTTAGTTCAAAGCACGTAATGGTTTGGAAATGAATCATTCGATGAGATTGATTTTAAATAGCGCGAACTTAATTAAGATGTTTGTTTACTTAAAATGGTTGACAAAATCGAAAAAAAAAAACATTTATCAGCAATAATCACTACATCGTTGTATGCAGAATTCTCCGTATAAACGAATTGTTTTTGAATTTTTTCAGAAGACGATAATTAAAATACAGATATTTAAATTTGATGATTTTTCGGACTAGTTGGACACTATTCATACTACATAATCAATGATAAATTGTTAATATCATAACTCCATTATTACAGTGACAAATAGAGAAATAGAATTATATGCGTTTTACCGCATTCACTGCGATAATTGTATCTATCTTCTTGACCTAGTGTAAATCGAACTTGTGACGTAGGGAACTGCAACTCATAACCAACGCATGGCGTTCACGTGATAATTCTATCTGTTCGGCGGCCCAACTATAAGACTGAAAGGGCATAAAAATGTCTGATTTAATTTAAAATAAGATACTCATGTAATGTAACTAAAATTTAAAAATAATCAAAGAGAGAAGATTGTAAGATGTCCCAGTAGTGCCGGAGAATAAAAGATATGTAAATTAATTAATGAATAGGTATTCTATGTAGGTAATAATTGTGTATTTAAATCGGATCTACCCATATACCTCTTTGACCAATGTGTGTTAGCTGTAAAAAAAGGTAGTTAATAAGATTCGCGTGACAGAGACAGATGGAAAGAGCTGAGTGAGCTCTATGTACAGCAGTGGACGCATACAGGTTGATGATGATGAATAATTATGTGGCAGATGTTATAGTGAAGAAGAGGAAATAGATCAGTATCTCCTTAAAATCGACATTTGAACTCCATAACCTGTCCCTCAAAAACTTAGAATTTGATAGGATTAGACAAACATCCATCAGGACGCAACCTAAACTTGTTTGGTTGTTTCTTCCACCATTATTCTTAGACTTTTATACTACTTTTGTGTCAATTAATAATGTATATTGCTGACCACCTTTTGTATTTTTACACTATTAACTAAGTCCTATAATATTCTTAGTACCACTTTAATTAATTTCTTGAGGGCCTGACGATGCTGCATAACTTGTAAACACCGAAACCGGTAGCCCAATCTTTCTCTTAATAAATACCTACAACAATTTAACACGGATTGTGAGTATAAGACCTTTTCCCGTAACATTCATTGCCCACACCAGCAACCTTTTATATAGATCATTATTGTAGAGAGAATGGTTGTAAGTTACTCAGGTTGAAATTAACGGGAGTTGAGTAGTTAATTCTAGTTAGGACAGGAAACAATATTGAGAGTTGGAAAGAATTGAAGTATGAAAATAGTCATTGAAAAATGTATGCAGATGAAAAAGAATAAAGGAGGATGAATGCGGAAGTAGAAATAAAGTGTAAAATGCATGGATTAAGAAAACAAATGCCGATGAATGGGGACAAAGTTACGGTTGAAAGATGCGTGTCTCGACACAAATTAGAACTATTCTTCATGTTTTGATTAAATTCTTATGTAATTTGATGTGCTGAAAACGAAAATGATACAAAAAATCTAGGTAATCAGGATTTTTCGAAAAACAAGAATGTATATTTAGCCCATTTTTCCTTATCTGAGTTATGAGATCTAGGACTTGGCATTCTGAAACACACAAATCAACAATTTACAATGTGTCCCAAATTAATATGTTTTGCAGGGTATAAGGAAAACTAGATGATATAGATCTTCTTTATTAAGAAAACATTCACTCACTGTCCTCATTAAGGAAATATAATACCAACTTATGTTTTTTATATGGGACACCTTATATGGTTTGACATTTGTCGTTTACATTTTTAATTATCCTTTATTCAGTCGCTTACAAACAAAACACTAAAAATCTTGGAAAGGCCATCTCGTCGCAGAAAATAGCATGTTGGATTTAGTAAATAAATATATAAACACTCTAAAGCCGGGATATTAAAGGTATTTTCACCATTTTCTTAAAAAATATTTATCTTAACTTTCATTAATAAATGCACTTGGGAAGGTTTCCCTTTATACCTATCGAGTAAATGCTCTATGAATTATTTGACCAGGACAGATGATAAAGACAGTTAACATTACTGTTATAATGGCGTAATACTGAATGGACAAGAAAATTACAGGCAGCCATTACCAAAGTAACCGACTGGACCAATAAAGGCATCTAAGTACGTCCACATAGACTTTACAGTAAAACTATTCAACAAATTCCTGCACATATTAATAACCAATATGTGCCGTACGTAAATGAAGCGAAATAAAAAGCTCTGACCACATATAACATTAATTTGCAAACAAGTCGACAAGATAACTAGCTATAGTAGAAATAAAAACATCCATAGGGAACTGGGCGTTGGAATAAATCAGAAGATTTGAAAGGAACCGCGAAAAAGACTCCATAATCATACAAATATTAGACTCTTCAGCTTCTGTACAACACGGGCTTAACAAAAGGCTTAAACCTTTGACTTAGTTTACTTTCCAATGCTAGATGTAAAGATGTAGATATAGTGCTTAAAATTGTGCATGTTAGTGACCAGTGCAATAATTTATTTCTCACATGAATTAAGTGAGCATCATTTTGTAAACCTTATTGTTTCTTAATCTCGAAACGTTATCGTTTCTTAATCTTAGGTTAGAATAAAATTTTTGAAAGAAGAATAATCTACACCGCAGGTGTAGTGTAAAAAAATATTTTGTTGTATTGTCAGTTATATTATTACAATCAATAATAATTTACCTGTTGACAGGTTTTGGTTAGCATAATTTGAGCAATGGCACAGTAATTATTAAGAAAAACTTTATGCAGTCCTCGGAATAGACTCTCATCTGAACCGGTCCATTCCTTGTGATCGTTGGCTCCCATCAAACCCAATAAACTAAACGACGTTGTGGTAGAAACTGGATCGGAACTATCATTATCTAAAAATAAAAATAGTTTTTATGTGAGCTAACAAATATTTATTTGACTTCTGAATGGTAAGTTAGTTGTGTGAGAGCTCTCTTATCTATAAACAATTAAAATAAGAATATTATTCATGACATCATGAGTGGTATTTCATGACCAGTTCTTCGGTCATTAAATTAATATGTAAGTCATTTTATTTACTAATAAAAATGGATGTATGATGTTCCACCCAACCACACAAAATGAAGCGTATTTATCAAAAAGTAAATCAAACGCTTTTTCAAGAGAATTGTCAGAGCTCACAAAATGAACAGGCCTTATTTGATGCTTGCAAATCTGTCGAAAATTAGAAGGTTAAACTAAGTGAAACTGACGAGGATAAATGAGCCAAAGGAATGAATTGTAGTGAAAGAAAAAAAAATTAAAAAAAAAAGGAAACTGGATACTTCCTTCACACGACCAAATCCTGTCTCCAGAGAAATTACAGACAAGAAAATCAAGATGCCGCCCCGAATGGTAATAGAAGGTATTAAAAATTACGATACAAATATCTTCAATTGAAGCAAATCAGGTTCACTACAAAAATTGTTAATAGTGATGTAATAAAAATTAATGTTCAAGATGGTGAAAGTACAGAAATTTAGCAAGACCTTTAAATGAGGAAAATTTTTCAATACCACCCATAATATATTGGTTATACAGAAGGATTCTCAAGATACCATGGACAGACAAAGTCACCAATGAAGAAATACTGCGGAGGGTGAACACAACTGCGGATTTGGTCAACATCGTGAAGGACCGTAAGCTGCAGTACCTGGGACATATAATGAGAAATCAAGGCAGATACGAGATACTTCAATGCATTTTGCAAGGTACAATTGAAGGAAAAGGACCTCAGGATGAAGAAGAATATCCTGGCTTGCTAACCTAAGAGCATGGTATAGAAAGACTTCAACACAGATATTTCGTATAGCAACCAAAAAAGTCATCATAGCCAGAATGATCGCCAACATTCGGAACGGACAGGCACCCTAAGAAGAACCCATAGGAAAATAAGCAGGACATGCCGTTTAAAGTTGTAGTGAAAAAGTTACATGAAGATATTGTTGTTGACCTACAATTCAGAAGGTACAAAGCGATAAATGCCGTCAACAAACTTGAATGGCCAACCCAACAGCTATTAGACATGTTTATATAAATCTTTAAGCAAGATGAAATTTCAATAAGACTTACGGGATTACGGGCATCTTGGGATTACGAGTGAAGATCCAGCCAGTTAAAAGCTCTAAATTAGTGACACAATATAAAAGACGCCAAGCCTACGGGCATACTTGGAAATACTGCGCCAGAGAACCAAGAAGTGTTAAACCATTTAACTAAAGATTGTGACAAGCAAACAAAAACTCAAATTCAAAATGCGTCCATTGTGATAACAAGCATACTGTCAACAGCAGGGGGTGTGTTGTCGCAAAAGAAATGCAGAAAATAAAAAACAGAAATATAAAAAAGCTCAACCTATCAAATCCTACAGAACGAAGAGGAACTGAAACAAGAGTAATAAAATTTTACTGAAACGATAAAGAGGTAAATAAGAAATATAGAGAAGCAATAAAAACCAACAATACTAATTTAAAAAATGGAAAACCAGCTTAAGAATGAATCAGACTCGACTCTACACTCCTACGAGGCGAACTAAAAAAATTTAATGAAGTGTTACTCGTCTGGAACATAGCGCCAACTGTGCTATTTCCAAAAATCAGAAATGGTTAATGAATTCAGAATCATGGAATGAAATGGCAATGAGTAGTTAAACCATCAACAGGAGTTACACTCGTCCTTGATATCGAGAAAATTGACATCTGTCTCATACCTAAGACATATTTTACAAATCAATTATATAAAATTCAACGGATATAAAGTGTACCACACAATACATCCTGATATTTCGACCAAAGAGTAAAAGACTGCACATATAAAAGCAACTATAGTATGTGTAAGAACTAAAAACTGTGATATTAATGTTAGTTCAATATCAATTCAATAACTCTAAGCGATACTCATTAAAAAATTCCAATATTAACTAATAAACTAACAGATTGGGAAAGTTTCAAACTATATCTTGAAAAGAAAATCAATGTGACAATACAACTACAAAACTAAGAGCAGGTTGAACTGTGTGTGCATATTAGGTTTAACGGATGATAGTAGAACTAATTATTGTTTTGAATATTATTTGTGGAAAGTTATAAAAAAAAATAAAAAATCAATTATCCACTCTCCTCCATTAAACTAGACAATTGTAATTGGGCCAGGAGCAACGAAGAAAAACCAGACAGATTTGCTAAACAAAGAAAAAGCGGACGTTTTTGCTGAACATCTTACAAACGTATTTTAAACAGAGCCAGCAGACCCTGATGAAGAAGTGGAAGAACTAATTAGCGCAGCATGTCAAATGTCACTCCCAATTCAAAGTTTTACTACTATAGAAGTCAGGAAAGGAATAAACAAACTCAATTCACGAAAGGCCCCAGGTTATGATTTAATCTCGGCACAAGTACTAAAACAACTTCCTCGCAAGACCATAACTTTGCTAACAGTTATATTTAACCGCATGCTAAGCTTATCATACTTTCCAAAAATATGGAAATTTGCTGAAGTCATTATGATCATCAAGCCAGGAAAAGAGCCCAATGAAGTAACATCTTATCGACCTATCAGCCTACTCCCAACCGTAAGCAAAGTTTTTGAAAGATCGCTACTTCAAAGGATATACTCAGATCATGAATTCCTTACATTACTTCCAAAACATCAGTTTGGTTTTCGGGAAAATCACTCCACTACCCAACAAGTTCATCGAATGATAAATGAAATATCAAAAAGTCTTGAAGAAAAGAAATACTGCAACGCTGTATTTCAGACATCTCACAAGCGTTTGACAAAGTTTGGCACAGAGTCTGCTTTACAAAGTAAAAATAGCACTATCCAGTAACTATTTCCTCCTACTTAAATCCTACATATCAAACAGATATTTCTCTGTAAAATTCAAAGACCAACAATCCAACCTCTATCCTATCAACTCCGGAGTCCCGCAGGGTAGTGTTCTAGGGCCGCTGCTTTTCTCACTCTACACAGCCGATATACCAGAGACCAATAATACTACAATCGCTTCCTTTGCTGGCGACGTAGCACTACTAGCCGTAAATGAAGATCCCGTACAAGCCTCACAAAACCTGCAACATCATCTGAACATACTCGGTGATTGGTATACGAAATGGAGAACAAAAGTAAATAAAACAAAATCAACTCAAATAACATTTACCAACCGACACAATATATGCCCACCTGTAAGGATGGAAAATATAAGAATACCAACAGTAACAGACGCTAAATACCTTGGCCTCCATCTTGACCAACGGCTCACTTGGAAGAAACATATCCAGACCAAAAGAAGGCAGCTTGACTTAAAATTCCGGCAAATATATTGGCTTCTTGGACGTAAATCAAAACTTAACATCCAAAACAAAATTCTTCTATACAAAGCCATACTCAAACCTATCTGGTTCTACGGACTACACCTATGGGGCTGTGCAAAGCCAACGTCGCTGAATATTATCCAAAGATTCCAGTCTAAAGTACTAAGATCGATAGTGGATGCGCCATGGTACGTAAGTAACCAAACACTCCATTATGACTTAAAGGTTCCTTTCATCAGAGAAGAAATTCATCGAGCCACGGAGTCACAAAATGAACGTACCATTCACCACGAAAATGAGCTTGTAAGGGAACTATACAACAATGGACCAGCCACAAGAAGATTACATAGAACCTGGCCCCAAGACCTTCTTCAGAACTAAACCAAAGTAGAATAAGGTGAGACATCATTGGATGTCTCCCCTTCACGCGCAAAACCTGTATCACATTTATTAATACTATTTTTGATGTAGATTGTAAATAAACATAATTTATATAAAAAAAAAATTGCTAAAAAAACATCTGGCATCTTAAATGAGAAAATGGTAATGGCATCTTAATGCAATTACCATTTTCATTGAGAATAAGCCGCAGTATAAGTTTACAATAAGTTTATTTTTGACGTTTAGATTTCCACTTCGGAAATCAATATACAAACATTAATAAATGTTTGTATTCAAAATACAAACATTAATAAATTAAACAAATTTTGTTTTTGTTACTTGGTGAAGAAAGAATTTTTCTAATAATTTAATTTTATCTGACTCATTCATATTGACATTATTGACATTATTGACAATACAGACATACATTATACATTTTAAAGTATTACGACTTTAAAATGATATTGACAATATTGTTGAGTTGCACTCCTGGGACGACTTTATTCTAAGATAGTTCATTCGAATACATGAAATCAACTTTAACTTGAGAATATCCGTCAGAAAAAATCGTAGCTTGTAATCCATCTTTAAAAAGACAACCACATGCAATGATGACAGTAAAATTCTTCCGTTAGTGATTCCATAGTAAATTTATTTTATTTATTAATGTTCGTATTTTGAGAACGATTTCCGAAGTGGAAATTGAAACGTCAAAACTAAACTTATTTTAAACTTATATTGTAGCTTATTCCCAACAAAAATAGTAAAAACATCTGAGATACTAAAAAATCTACTTCGCAAAGCTATTATCTTTTTCTTTAGGTGCCGTGTCCGTATTCAGACATTAGCCATCATCATTTTTACAATTTCCTGAAACCGTACTCTATCGGCTGCTGCGCGAAATAATTCTTCTACTGTGGTACCAAACCATTGTCTAATATTACGCAGACATGAAAGCTATTATGAAACTACTGCTGCCTTTGTTAATGTATGTACCCAGATAATGGAAAATAGAGGAAGTCATAATGTTTACCAGGACAACCTCTCAATGAAGTGTCTTCGTACAGACCGATATCACTACTTCCTACAATATCGAAGATATTAAATTGGCCAAATATATAGCCTAGGAGGACAAATTCGTTAAACTTCCCGTGCTCGAATAGGTATCACTAAAGTGTTATGATCATTTCGGCCTATCCCAGCCATCGTCAGACACTTGGGCTGATACAAATTCAAACACGGAAAGTAGAAAGAATGTCTCCTAAAGCTTCACCACTACAGTGGTTTGCGAGCACAGGCGCCACCTGCTTTGGCGGCCGTGAACAAAAACGATATAATCACATCGTTTTCTACCTCTGGGCTATGCGAAATGTGTAAAGAATAAATCTTTTAGCAAAAAGCTGCTATCGCTTTGTTTGTCCTCCTAGGCCATATATTTGGCCAATTTAATACAACAAAGCGATAGCAGCTTTTTGCTAAAAGATTTATTCTTTACAGTATCGAAGATATTCAAACAAACAATTTGATTCCTACACATCAATTAGGCTTCAGAAATAAGCAGAATACGACTTATCAAGTGCATAGAATAATAAATATCATTGAAAAATCATTAGAAGAAAAGACTGCATGTTTTACTCTATTTCTTCATGTTGTTAAAGCCTTTGATAAAGTGTAGCATGCAGGTTTGATATATAAACTAAAATTATTTATGCCCAAGCAATATTCGCAAATTTTACAGTCTTATTGAAAGACACTTTCTAATTAAACAAACACCTATTCGGACATAACAGAAAATATGGTTGGAGTTCCGCAAGGTAGCGTATTGGGCCCGCTCCTTTATTTGCTATAACTTGCGATATACCTGTATTAGAACATACCACCATTATCACGTATGCTGACGATACTGCGATTTTAGCGACAGAGAAGAACAAGCTTCTTTTAGAGAAGGAAAACAAAAAAGCCAAGGCGTCTAAAAGGGGATTTCGATGAAGTAGACAGAAGAAGAAGAATGATAAATATATGTCTAATAAAGTCAGAAATACTAAGAGATATTATAAAGAGCTTAAGTAACAGAGTAATTAAAGAATTCAACTAAATGGAAAAATATCTGTAAGTTTTGAAATGCAAAGTGATATAAAGTAAGTAGATAAATTAAGTCCAATATTATTTATAATAATAATGGACAGAATATTGAAGAATACAAAAAAACAAACACAAAAATCTACACAAAAAAGTAGGATATAATAGAATGGGACCTTTTTCAATTACACCATTTTCAGTCACATATGCGATTTAGACGACTCGCTTTCGTTGACATTTATGAACGTTTAGAATATGTCCCAAAATTTGCTAATTCCATTTCATTATTTCGTTATGTTTTTCTATGTTGAGTTTACATTGAGTAATAAGAATAAACTTATTCATTTTTCTATAGCATGATAACGCTTAGTCAAGGCTTTTCACTGAGTCTACTTGTAATCTTGTTATGGATGTACTGACAAAGAAGGTCAGGGAGGGGCTCCATGGATAATGTTAATTTCCGATGATATCGTGTTAGTTGAGGAGAACAAAAAAATGTTGGAGAAGTTTTAATGGGTTCAAGGGCTATTGAAGAGGGAGGACTTAAGGTTGGTGGGTCGAAAACAGAGTATATTTAGTTGGGAGGAACAGGAATGGCTGTGGACATCGAATTTCTTGGGGAAAACTAAGAGGGGTAAGAGAATTTAAATACCTCAAATATAACAGAAAATGTGACACTAAATCAAGAAATTGCTCACAGAATACAGGCTGGTTGGTTTAGCTGTAAGAGAATTAAATAGGTACTATGTGATCGAAAAATCAGGGAAGGGCTGACAGGAAATATATACAAAAGTGTGGTGAGGCCTGCGTTGGTGTACGGCGGTGAATTTTGGCCTGTAAAGAGGGTTCAGGAAAAGAATATAGAGAATGAAATCAAAATGATATGATGGATGTTGAGTAAGACCAGAAGGAAAGATCAGAAACAACGTGTTTAAGCAAAGTGATGGGGTTACAGCCTTAAAAAAAGAGCCTTTGTTCAAGAACAAAGACTGCAATGGTTTGATCACGTCAGACATAGAAATGAGAACTATGTGGGACGAAGGATAAAGCTGTTACAAGTTGAGAGAAAGACAGGTAGAAGAAAACCGAAGAGAAGATGCAAAGATTAAGTGGCGAGGACTTAAAAGAGAATGGTTTAATGAAGAAGGCATGATGACAGAAATTAATGGTGAAGTAGGGTAAGGAACAGCGATCCTGAAAAGAGAAAAGCTGAGGAAGAAGAAAAATGTTAGAATTTGCAAGAACTCAATTACGGAATTTAGAAAGCACACACGCTATTAGCACTATAGCGAAATTAATGAAAACTGTATAGAACTTGTAAAGAATGCTTCGATAGTAAATTGATATAATATATTATAATCACTGAGTATGTATTTAGCCATAAAGTTCTCATATTAATCTCATACTAATCAAATGAATGAAGACTCTATCTAAATGATTAAGTAAAGGTTGATAAAGAAATTTAACTTCATATTAGGTTGGTTCAGGTTAGTTCATATTTAGCTGTTAGCATTCGCATGATAGTTAGTAATATAACTAACTAGGTATGTAGGTGGTGAGTTGACTAATCATAGCACTAATTTTTAAACGATGCATAACCCGCATTAAATTTTAACAATATACATTAACGCTATCGCTCACCTTTGTACTTATTACTATCGTTGCTATCTTCAGAGCTTGCTTCGTTTCCAGAATCAACACTCTGCTGTTTACAGATCTTCCTCGGAGACTGGTTGCTAACGCCGTTCGTTTTCAGTTCTGTGACCGTTTCTGCGGCAGTTTTAGGTACTTTAGCTTTAACTTCTTTCTCTTTTTCTTTTTCAGACTCTTCTTCCTGCTTCGCTTTGGCAGCCATTGTTTCTTTCACTACATCCTGTAACACAAAAAAATGATTAAAATTAATAAAGGACAACATATAATAAAAAAATTGTTTCTGGGATTATTTAAGAAGTCTAGTAGTAAGTGTTTATAGTACAAGTATACAGCATTAGTAGAACAGTGTTATGGTTATATGATTAACGTGTCATAAAGAGACATGGATAGAACCGGACCGAAGAATACAAATCCAAATCGATCAAATCTTGATAAAAAGCAAGCACTCAGTGAAAAGAACAGATGTCAAAACAGAAAAGTACACAAGTAAGAACGACGAACAGACTCTCGCAAAAATATAATGTTGGCAAACTACAAACTACAAACAAATGTGAATACTCTTACATAGAAAGAAGCATCTGAGATAAGAGAAAGGCACGAAGAATGGTTTAAAGAAGAATTTAAACAGATGTATAAAAACAGAGAACAGGTAAAATAAAGAATGATGGAAGATCCAAGTGATGATCATAAAATGAACGATGAAGTTGAGAGAAGAAATTCGGAAAAGTTTTGTAGACATAAGAACCGAAAACATATGAATAAAAAAATACAACGAATTGATGAACATTGTATAAAGAAATATAAGAATCTTTACTAAGAAACGAACAGAAGTAAAGAACAATATCATCATCATCTTTCTGGCTTTACAACTCTGCGTGGACCCTAGCTCCTCGAGAATTTCTCTCCAGTCGTCCCTATCCATCACCTTTCTCTGTAAAGCATGTATTCCCATATTTCTCATATCTTCATCGATGTTATCAAGGAGCCTTGTTGTATTAAAAAATAACATACACCAGTACAAAAATATGAAGCGAAGACAGACATCTAATAGGAGATATAAAGGGAAACTTGCTAGATGGCAAGAGCCGTTTGAAGAACTACAGAAAGAATAAGAAGAAAAAAAGGCTACCAAATGGAAGGACAAGAAATTAATTCCAAACTGAAACAGTGGAATTTATAACTAATGAAGAAATAAAATAGATGGTAGGATTATTCAGAATAACAAAAGTGTGGATAGTAATAATATTAAGTAAGAAGTAATCAAACATAGGGGATGTATTAAAGACACAGTATAAGGATATGTAGCCTATTGATAACAATTTGAGAGTATGAGGAAAAAAAAATAGAAATGAGTTGGTCTATATGTGTAAATATAGTAATATACAAAAACTACCAAAAAACAGAAATCTGGTAATTACGTGGCCTATATAAAGTCCTTGCTAGTTATTAAACGCATATTAGATAAATAAACGAGTCAGTGTAAGTGAGGTTTCAAAGCGCTTATGATTCTGTTATAAGAAAACACCTGCATCAAGCTCTCAGAACAATTAATTTGAATCAGAAGTTAATTAAACGAATAAAAACGACAATAATTAGTACAACAATAGATAGAAACAGTGAGGCCCATTGTCAAAAGTTCTTTTTTTAATTTCCTACTAGAGTCAATATTTAGAGTACGTAGTATAATATTCTTGGTCCTTGAATATTCCGATGATGCAGTTCTAATAACCCAAGCAAATACTGTGGTGCTAAGAAAATTTAAATTATTTAAATAATAATATGTATTACTTAATAAAAAAGTTAATGGGCGGTTTCATATTCCCTTAACGAAAAACAAAGTTTTAAGAAATAGGACATAATTTAACTGAACAAACATATTCATAAATAAAATCAGATAACAAAAACAAGGAATATCGTTTTCGAAAAGTAAAGAAATCTGAATACATATGGGTTAACATAATCATTAAGGAAGATGAGGTTCAGGAAATAGAGATAATAATTGCGAAGGGAAGGAGAACGGTCGGCGCATTGCGCGAACTTTTGAACTACAATAATGTCTTAAGGGCAACAAAATTAAGATTATACCGAACTATGATATAATCAGCAGTGCTGTATGGTAATTATAATTGGGTGATACAGAAATTAAGGAGAAAAATGAATGTAGAAGAATGAAATAGGAAACAAGAAATAAACAAGACCATGATTATCATCATTATCTTAACAACCCTTTGTGGGTTTTAGCTTATTCTATGATTTTCCGCCATTCTGATCTATTCCTAGCTTTTCCCAGTCGGGGAAAAGCTAGTAATCTTTGGAGTTTTCAAATCTTGTTCCACTTGTTTCATATACCTAAGTTTGGGTCTTCCTTTTGAACTTCTCCCTAATGGCATTTGCCTTATTATTTTCTTTATTATTTCATTTTGCATCCGTTCGACAGGTCCTAGCCAACGCAAATGTCCAATATTTATAAATGTTATGATGTCAGGTTCTTTGTATGCTGTGTATAATACAAAATTATATCTTCTATACCATACATTATTTTATTTCACTCTTCTAAATATTTGCCAAACGATTTTTTGTTTAATTTTGGTCGTAGCTAATAGTTTCTCATCGCATTTTGACAATGTCTATGACTCTGACATATACAAGGACCGGTTTTAACAGGGTTTTGTATATATTTTTTGTTATCATTGTCCCTCGTTAATATATCATTCAATCTCTGATTATTTTCTATGTTATGTTAACTAGAATACAGGATAAGACATCTACCTGTTGTATGCCTTTTCTAATATGGATTGTATCTTGTAAGTTTGATTTGAATTCGAATTTTGCTTTGCACTTATTCTGTACTGTAAAGTGTTTCTTTTACTATCGCAATGAGCTGTGTTCGAATATTAAATTCTTTCAGTGTCTGGATCAGAAATTTTCTGTTCTCTATTTTCTACATGTTATCAGATTCACTTTCGAAACCAATGAAAAGATACTGTGTGTATATATTAAATTCACTAGTTTTTTATAAAATCCGTCTCAAGATGGAGATATAGTCTATTGTGAATTTCTGTCTGCAGAACCACATTGATATCTCCCAACTATTTGTTCCGCATATAATACAGATAAGTTCCGCATATAACAATAATGTTGATAGATAGAGCTTGTAACGAGGTGCAGCGGATAAGGAAAGTTACTGAAGAGGTCAGAATAGTTAAAAATCGCAGTTATGGATCTCTCAGCGGGTCATAACGGGTAATGGTCAGGTCGAAGAAAAACATCATGGCTTAGAAACCCAGAGGAATGGTCTAACAGATCATCTCCATTCTATGTAGTCGTTTGATCAGTCTTGTCTTTTTTGAACACTCGTAATAGCTGATTTTTATAGGAAAGGTTGTTAATCCTAAACCCAAACAAGACCATTCAGAAAAAAAAATACTACGATTCGCTGGTTGGAACAGATGGCAAGAATGATGCGAGAAGATGGACGAAAATGCGTTGTTGAAAGATGAAAGAAGAAGAGGATGGTCACAAAAAAATTATTAGAGGTATCTGAAGATAATCGTACAACAAGCATGTGTTGTAAACTGGAGGATAAATAACATCTACAGAAAAGGATGAAGAAAAGTAATGGAAAATATGCCATGGTGCCTTGGTTGTCTTGATTTGTCAAAAAGCAGTAGCTATGGACGTGAAGATGAAGATGTATGATCATCGAGCAAAAAGACAATAGAGGGAATGTAAAGGTAGTGGGGGCAAACATATTGTTAGACAGGAAGTGCGATCTTTAGAGGCCACTTTAAACAAGGATAGAGAGTCTCTCTCCTTGTTTGACATCAAATTTAGTTGGGTTATGTTATTGTTTGTCCCAAATGTCACATGAAATCTTATTTATATTGAAGTTTTTTAACAATTGTGTCGCATTTTAGACTCTTATCATTAATAATTAATTAAAACTTTCTCGTCTAAGACACATTCTGAAAAATATTATATAGCTACTGTTGATAAGTGTCGCAAAATTTAAATTTCGCGCATTCGCATTTCCGGATATGTCCGCCATCAGAGGCCACTTTTTTGGTCTCCTTTTCATAAGGATTAGATTCCCTCTTTTGTCTTATTGCTCGATGTGTATGATGCATAAGTTCCATCAGTCATATTAAGAGTGAAAGACTGGGAAACTAACAGATGGAATTGGGAATAGGAAGCTAGTTTAGCTGATACACCAAGTGGAAAAAATATGTTAAAATTATAAAAAAAAAATATGCAAGAGAATGTCGTTGAGCAAAATAACGACAACACAGAACAAAAATAATAAACTAAATTGTGTTTAGATGGGATTAGGCCATAACTCATTGTAATTAAAATTACATTTTACAATTGGTATTTGAATTTCGATTCCTACTCCGGAAATAGTTTGCAAAAAAGATTATTTTAAAACAGTGATCTGTTATCATAACCAATTGTAGTTTGACGGTTATGTTTTTTTCAAATTTATAGTTGACTTACTTGGCCCCATTCTTGGTTTTACTTGAAAATTAAAAGTGCTGTTTGTACCCTCAACATTATATCAAATTCTAATTGTTTTGTTTTCTGATTGATCCATAAACGCTCACAAGAAGTGATTTAAAGATGTGTTACGATAATAAATATTATGGCGTATAAAACTGTAAATATATTATGACTAATTCTTTTCTATTTCTAGTAATTTCGGCGCTCAGTTAAAAAACCTGTTTACCTGCCGGCAGAAATCTCTAGTCGTTCGCCGAAAGACCAGTCCATGAGTCACCTTGTCGTCTAATGGGTGAAAGGTCATCGATTCATCGCCAGATCTTTCTACTCTAGCAGCTGGTTTTATATAAATAACGGGGGATTTTCATTGAGGAAATCAGTCAAAAGAAGATCGCGCTCGTGTTTTAAATGTAACGATCGTAATAATAAATTATTATTGTAAGATAAATTATTATAAATAAACTTTAAATAAATTAAGTTTGTAAGTCATCATCATCAATGGTGCTACAGCTCTAGTTGAGCCTTGACCTTCCCCAGTCTATTTCGCCAGTCGTTTCTGTTCATCGCCAACCGTTGCCAATATGCCGCGCCGATTTTCCTTGCGTCCTCGTCCACACCGTCCCTCCATCTCAGTCGTGGTCTGCCTCTACTCCTATTTCCCACTAGGACCGATAATAGAGTTCGTCTGGGTGGGTAATTTTCATTTGCTCTTGACACATGTCCAGCCCATCTAAGCCTGCCTATTTTTATGAAGGATATTACATCTCTACCATTTACTATTTTTTTATATTTCTCGTACAATTCGAAATTATATCGCCTTCTCCAAATACCATTCTCACAGAATGCGCCCATTATTCTTCTTAGTATCTTCCTTTCGAAGACGAGCAGAAGATTTGCGTCTGTTTTGGAGATGGTCCATGTTTCTGACCCATATAGGTTGACCCATATGGTCCAAGTTTGTAAGTGTTATACTTAAATATTGAACCTTTAGTAAATTAAAATCAGAACAATAAATTAGAATGAATAAAGACTTAACAGATGACAATGCCACATGTAAAGGCTTATCAGATAAATTAAAACGGAAATAAGTAAATCAGAACATTCAAAAAACTGAGATCTATTCTGTCCTACACCAAGCCTAACTACACACAAGAGGGAACAAAGAACTGCATCTATAAAATACCCTGTGAATGCAACAATTTTTATGTGGGAGAAACTGCAAGACTACTAAGTATCAGGATAAACGAGCATGAAATATTCAGCGAAAACAGAGACTTTGATAAATCACAGATAAGCAATGCCACATGCCAGAGACACAAAATACAATGGAAATATGCATCAATAGTCATGAAACAAGCAGACATGCAATGGAGAAAAATCAAAGAAGCAGTTCTCATCTTAATCAATGATGAAAAATGTGCAGCAAAACCATCAGCCGAATATTCCAGGCTTTGGTTGCTAATACTAAAAGAAGAAGTCAGCAACCAGAATATGTCAACATTAGGGTGTTTAGAAAAAACTGAGACACATCATCTACAATTATAAATAATATACATACCACACACAATATATAAATATATCATACATAAACACAGAAAACAATCAGAATTTTTAACTAAAAGCATGGCTATGTGCCTATAAGATACCGAGAAAGTAAGTCATCCATCAATTTAGAAAACAATGACCGCTAAACAACTATTATTGGTTAGGTTATAACATATAATAACAGCTCATTATTTTAAAATAATCTTTTTTGAAAACGATTTCCAGAGTGGAAATCAAAATGTCAACCAAGAATTATACTTAAATGTAATTTTCATTACAATCACGTGTAGCTTAATTCCATAAAAACAAAATATTTAACTTAGACATGCCACAAGAAAACAGTTTCAAAAAAATAATAAACTTGCATGTAATGAGAGGAAGTAGTTCACTGTGTATTTTCAGTATACATGTTGAAAGCGAATATTATCACTTACCAAAAGTAAATAGCAGTCAGTTCCACATGGATCAGTGAAAGGTTTTAGGTCAGGCCCACGACGCTTCTGCAGATTGGGTCCAGGATGGCAAACTTGCAGTCCTGTTTTTAAAATAAAAAATGTATTCAATCTCAAAAAAAATATTTTAAATATCTCAAAATTATTAATTAAATTTCATTTGAGTTAAACAATTCTTTGTAAACTTTATAAAACCTTATTGTAATGACCATTGTAGCATCTCCCATTCGTAAACAGAGTTTGTAAATGGATATGACATGTAAGTTTTTCTTCTTTGTTATTTTGTTTATGGTGAGACAGTAATAAATGTTAAATTTTTTCCCTAAACCATTTTTGTTTAGTTCTTTTAGAAAAGTCTCCCAACCTCTCGTTTGTGTTTTTAGGAAAGAAGAGGCTTTTTCTTTCATCTAGCAGGAAGTTCCCTCGAAGCGGCGTCCCATTTTAAATAGCTAGAGGTCCTTCTTGTTGTTTTTTTTTTGTCCATTTCACCAGGAGATTCATGTAAGTACCCTTGTGTTTAATTTTTGTAGTTGTCCGAATCCAATCCGTTGCCATTCAACTCATCCACGACCCCAGGTCTCCAAATAAACCCTAAGTGCCGTTCGCATAAGTTTCGTTTATTTTGCTTGCCCTATCTCCACCCCCAGTAACTTCTATCCCAATTTTCAACCCCCTATAATAATACCCGATGTGGTAGGCAAAATACTTCGTTACACCATATGAACCATTATGGTGATATCAATATCAATGATATCAATTCTGTTCAAACATTTTTTAAAAGCTTTTAAATCAGTTTAATAAATGAATATATATACTAAAACCCTTAACTAAATTATGTAGACTTAATCTAAATGGAATGATTTTTATAGTGTTATTCGGATTTTTTGTTTTGCTGTAGTAAATATTAGTAACTACATGAAATGGAAGATGATTTCTACCTTCTATGTTTACCTTGCTGTCCTAAATGTGCAGCAAAACAAAAGTAACAAATCTGTTGAACAAGTAGTAAGTACTATTAAACTATTTATTATTCTAATAATTGTGATCTAAGGATAATACACCCTCCTTGATGTCTTCAGAAATATGGTGATCTTACTATACAATCTGTAACAAAACTGTATCTATCAGCTATAGAAACAGACTTTAATTAACAAAAGTGAAAATACCAAAATATCTTCAACCTAAAATAAGGTTATGTTGATGTGTTGCTAAACCAAGTTAGGTAATATATCAAAGAGTCCATGAGGCAAGTCATATTTAAGATTTTGTCTTCCAACGTTGGACTAGATCCAAGATTTGATATTCAAGTCTTCTGAAAGTTGTATTGAGTTTGAATATACACTTTGTACTATAGTAACTCAGTAATGAATGAACCCAGATGCAAAAATCAACCAGTAGGAGGATAAAATATGTACAGTAACTTCTATATATTTTCAATCATCCTTTATATGGTTGATAAACAGGCTACAATGTGTAGTATTTGTTTCAAAAATAAGCTGTTTTTATATTTTACTAAGTCCTTTCAAACTTCTACAGCTTCATGAACATTTCTAGAAAAGAAATAAGGGTTTTTGGGAAAAAATGCTAATTCATTCCAATGGTACATACTACTACATAATGAGCAATATGACCAAATTGAATATACACTTGACATTTTTGTATTAGACACAGTCAAAATCCTGAACATAATTTACTACTACTGCAACTTAAGTTCTAGATCAAATCTAACAAAAATATACGGGGTGATTCTTAGGAAGTTTCAATTAGACATTTTAGACAAACTTGACATAATTAAGATCTGAAAACTTAGGATGAGCCTCCTAAATCGCATCTCTATCTTGTAAACTACTTGGTATAAGGTAGCAAAACCTTATATTGGGAGGATTCTCAAGAGCTTGGTTAATTGGATACCTCAATCCTAACCACACTGTGTTCTTGAAGAAGCAACAAAATCATTTATGTCAAAATGTTTTATATACAGTATGTAAATATTTTTAATATGGTACTTACTATGTAGGAAGCAATCATATTTAAAGCACCTTCTACAAAATAAAGTATGGAATGAATGTAGAGTTTGTTCTCTAGGCACTGATGCAGCATTGGGTCCATCAATATTTGGTGTACACTCTGGAGGAGCATTGGGATCAGTTCTTTCAGTCAGTTCCACATACCTATATAAAATGTTTAAATATACCATGTTTATTTGTAGCAGTGATTTAAAAAGAATGTAATATGTGTAGTATAAGCGATATTTGGATTCTTGTTATAGTTGAGTTGTTTCTATAGTGAAGTGTTAAGTATATACTATTCAACAATATATTGTAATAATTCAGTAAAAAATTGAGGATGTTCTACACTTAGTTAATCCAACAATAAACTTTCTTTTGAACATGTTCTTTTAAAGAATGTAAAATATAAACTAAATAATGGAAATTTCAAAATGAAACAACCTCAATTTTCATCATATTCAGCACAAAATATCTACAATGTGCAGGGATGTAGCCTGAGTACTAAAATCAAATATAATAAACATCATCACAAACTCTCTATAGGCGAACTATAATACAAAATAGACCAAAGCTCCAGTAAATAGACTTAGTGACACAAGCTACCTAGAAGATCAGTTCTTCCAACTGGAAAACCTAAGCAGTATGGTACAAGAAACTTTAAGGTAGAGGCTCTCTAAGGACTGCCTATCACTAACAATGATGGCTAAATAAAATATATTTTGGTCCCTTCTGTACCACAACTCAACATGAAGATATAAATATGAATATGTCCCATTATTATTCATTATCTATTAAGTGAATTAATTACATAGAAAATTAAACCAATTTAGTAAATATTAACCGTGTAAGCACTTCAGCAAATTGCTGTAGGGAGCAATATAAGACACTTGACACAAATTTTGGTAGTTGGTTTCTTTTTTCCAATAATATAATATACTGTGAATATAATGCAAATTCTGTATCTGTATGTAGATAATAGACATATGCAGGTAAAGATTTACAAAACAATAATATGCCCAGTCTTAACATATGGCTCAGAGATTTGGATTCCAACAAAGAGCAATGAAAACAGTTTAGAATGTTTTGAGAGGAAAGGACTGAGAAGAATTTATGGAGTGGTGAATAACAGTGGTTTGTGGTAGAGTGGACACAATTTCGAACTTCCCAGAATATACCAGGAACAGATATCACCAAATAATATGTATAAGGCAGGTAGTGGATGGAGTAAAATTATCCAGTAAGAAAAACATTTCTTGATAGACTCATTGAGCAGAGATGAAGAGGAACATCGAGAAAAAGATTCATTGATAACATAGAAAAAGAGGTTGAGTTTACCGAAAGTACAAGATGATTATAGCCCCAAATGTCAAACATGGAACAAAAAAATTTGGTTTAGCAGTGTTGGCATGTGTTTATAATGTATATGATGTATGCTTCAAATATAAAGAGATGAAGCTTTAGAAAAGTACATTTTGACATATGGCTCATAGGCTACTTTAAACTAGTTCATTTGGATATGGAACTTATTATCAAATAGAATTAAACTGGCAAAAATGCCTAAATAACTTTGGCTTCAACAGCCTATTATATATCACAGGAAAACTACCTTTTTATATATCCTGATGTTTTTAGGAACCAGCATTTATGTACATATTTCCCTTATTAGTTAAATTATTTTTAGTTTATATTCCATGAATGTGTTATACTTCATTTATTTTTAATCTGTATATATGGTGTAAGACAGTAATGGTGAACCTATAAAATACATACCAGTGATGGCATGTGAGCTTATTTTTGGTGACATCATCATCATCAATAGCTCGACAACCCTTTCTGGGTCCTGGCTTGTTCTAGGATTTTCCGCCATTCTGTTCTGTTCCTTGCCTTGTTTTTCCAGTTGGTAATCTTAAGTGTTTTCAGATCTTGATCCACTTGTTCCATGTATCTAAGTTTGGGTCTTCCCTTTGACCTTCTCCCTATTGGTGTTTGCCTCATTATATGTTTTGGCATTTCAGTCTCCAACATCTGTTCAACATGGCCCATCCAGCGCAGACATCCGATCTTTATGGATGTTATGACCTCGGGTTCATTGTATGCTGTGTATAGTTCAAAGTTATATCTTCTGTGCCATATGTCATTTTCCTTTACCCCCTTATATTTGTGTCTAACGATTTTTCGTTCAGATGTACCTAATAGGTTCTCATCGCTTTTTGACAGTGTACATGTCTCTGATCCATACACAAGGACCGGATTTATCAGGTTCTTGTATATTTTGCATTTGGTTTTTTTGTGATGTTGTTAGATCTTAGATGTTTATAAAATAATAATATCAGTCCATTATGTTTTATTAGCGATATGTATTTGTCTCTTAACTCCTTCACGGACATTGTTATCTGCGGTAACTAGTGAACTTAGATATGTAAAACTTTTCACGCTTTCGATGTTATAGTCTCCTATTGTCAGATTCGGTAGGTTTCTTTGGCCTGTCCATTTACTGGCCTTTATGTATTTGGTTTTTATTTCGTTAATGTTTAGGCCACTGTTTTGTGCCGCTCTTTCTATCGCATTAAATGCTTCTATCATCTCTCATTCGCTTCTAGCTATGATATCAATGTCATCTGCAAATGCCAATATTTGTACACTTTTTGTTATTATTGTTTCTCTGGTGTTGACTTTTGACTCCCTAATTATTTTCTCTAATATGGTTTTGAACAGAATACAGGATAGGGCATCTCCCTGTCGTAGGCCCTTTCTCAGATTTTTGGTGACAGGCATTTTCAAAAATAAAATAAGTTATAATTCCAATATTTGTTTCTCATCACTGCCAGAGATGGATATTGTTATTACTTACGTTAATAATTATTAAATTTTGATACCCTGTGCTCAAAAGGTTCGCCATCACTGGAGTAAAATATGTTTTTAGTTTTGATTGTCAGTGTATGCAATAGAGAACTCTTTTTATATTGATTAGATGTTAATGGATGAATGTCAAATGATTGGGTTCACTCCACTAAACAAAGAAATATATCTGAATTAAACCAATGTTAATATGCCACATTTAAAACAAGTGTAGCTCCCTTAGGATGCATTTACAAGGTGGTTTGCATCAAATTGGTATAAAATGAGTTCCAGAATTTGTAGATTTCTTTTATAAAGAGCATTATTTGGGGACACCCTTTAAGTAGTACAAAAATATCATAATCCTTATTGCTAATAGTTTATAAAGTTTTTTTTTTGTTTTAACTTACTTATCTCTTAGTTCTTCAGGACCACCTTTATCAGGAAACTGAGATGAAATAGACTGAAAAATAATAAAAGTGGGAAAGTCCATGTCATCTTTTTTCTTATCTTTTGTTTCTTCTGTTTTTTCTTTCTTTTCTTTCTCCTTTTCCTTCTCTTCTTTCTTTTTTTCGCCTTTATCCTTTTCCTGATAATTGACCAATGCGTGAACTAGCTCCACAAATAATTCATCATCTATAAAACCAGATTCTCGATCACCATGTACCTTTCCATCATAGTTTTTGATAAGTTCCTCTATAAATGTACCATCTTGATCCAAAATTTCATCTCCCATGTAAGGAATATTATGTAATACAGTCTCATCCTCTACCATAAAATTTTGCTGTATTGGTGCCCAAGTGTACATGGTTGGAATAGGTGTTACTGCATTCATTATTTTGATAGTAGTCACCTGTATATCCCCTAAAATGATTTTATAGATTTATATCTGAGTTATTATAAAAATGTTAAAATTTTATTATATGTAAATTAGTATTTGAATAAAATTATGATATAAATAAGTTTTGTGAAAGAATTAGATGTTCTATGTATTTAATTAAATAATAATGTCACAAAAGGTGGTAGTGATTTTTGGAATATGTAAGTATGATAAAATTATTTTTTATGTTAATATCCTCAAATTAATTTTAAAAAATTACATGTTAATATGTTATTATCATTGTAAACATTATTTGAAAATTTCTTATTATTTAATACAAATTAATTCATAGTAGAAGTAATATGTTACCCTTAAGAGTGTAGGCACAAAATTTCAGGCCAATGCTTTTTAAATGCATTCATTTTTTTTTTCAAATCCTGAGGAAACTAATAAATATTTTTGAAAAATTTAAATGCAGAATGAAAGCTTACATCTTTATCAAGGCCAGAAAGTTTCTTAGAATAAACAAAAAGAGATATTTAAAATTAAAAATGACACTAAATTGTCTCTTCTTTTTGACCCCTGTAACTTACTAAAATAAACATTATATAAGTTTTCAGGGACTTTCTGCTCTCAGTAATAATGTAATCTTTCATTCTGCATTTAAATTTTTCAAAATTCTTATTAGTTTTCTTAGAATTCGAAAAAAATTAATGCATTTAAAAAGCATTGGCCCGAAATGTTGCGCCTATGCTCTTAATGATTATTGATTATTTAAAAATGTCTTAGGACGAATATACTTCTGATATAATTAGTTGACTTGCACCTTTCATGCTTTCAAATAGTTAAAAATAGTCTTAGCAAAGGTGCTTAAAATTATTAATTTACCTAGAAAACAGGTTTAATGTTTTCAAAGGACTAAAAATATAATTTAAAAATACAATATAAAATATAATTTAAATAACATACACTGATCATAATGATAAAAGCACATGATATAACTTTAACTTATATTTGAATATTAAAACCTTATGTTAGTATTTTTCTTACTAAAAGTGACAAATTTCACAATCTTTAGCACAAGATTTTGGCATATATAGCTTCCAATAATCGAATAAATAAATAAATAAAATAATCCAATAATGGAATAATAGCTTCTAATAATGGAAGTAGACATACAAGATGAAATGGGTACTAACTACATAGATAGAATGAAGTAGAGAATGGAGTAGAAGCTACAACCATAGAAGAAGTTTTAGAAGCTATTAAGGGCCAGAAAAATAATAAAGCTCCAGGAGTTGATGAAATACCTGCAGAATTGTATTAGGGAGGTTATGACCCATATCAAGTCACATCCATGCGCTCATCAAAGCCATATGACAAGAAGACAAAATACTTGACAACTGGAAGAGAAGTATAGTATGCCCGATCTTTAAAAAAGGAGACAACCTCCACTGCAAAAACTACCATGGAATTTCTCTATGTACAGCATATAAAGTCCTCACATATATTATAAACCAGCCCCTCCAACCACTACCAGAAAATATTATTGGAGAGTATTAGATGGGCTTCTGATAGGGAAGATCGATACTGGATCAAATATTTACAGTCAAACAGATCTTGAGTAAATCATGGGAACATGACATTGATATTCACAACGTGTTTGTAGGCTTCAGACACACAAATCAGTCAAAAGGAACAAACTCTACAATATATTGGTCAAATTGGCAATACCACACAAGCTAGTTAGACTCATTAAAGCCACAATAGATGAAACTCAGGCATGTGTACAAATACAAATCCACTGGATAGACTTTTTCAAAATTTCACAGGGACTAAAGCAGGGAGATGAGCTGGCAAACAGTTCAACTGGCCGATAATGCTGATGATATTATAATTATGAGTAGATAATCAACAGGAGCACAGTAAACAGAGAACTACGAACACAGAGAAGCAACACGAGGCCCGAAATTCGTGTATCTTTTCTGTATACGCATGACCCAAATAAGGTGCTTTACTGTCAAAAACACGTGCGTTTTCTTCAACTTTAGTCGCTTACGATAGTCCGTAGGCATCTGTGGTAAACTCTCGACTATACAAGTGCATTTGACCATTTATCTAACTTACTTAGTAGTTAAAAGTTTATAGTTATAGTTTATAGTTATAGTTAAAATATATAAGTTAAATATATACGTTTATAGTTATAGTTTATAGTTAAAAGTTTAATTTATAAGTATTTAAAATGTCTTCTGGTTATTGTTGTGCGTTTCGCGGATGTTCATCTGTGACAGGAAAAGGAATAAGTTTATTTAGATTTCCTAAGAATAATAACAGGTAATTACTATTGCTTTGTAATTATTATTAGTTATTACATAATAGTATTAATTTGACTTTGAGTAAGCCGACACCGACGTGTCCGCCCGAGCTCTAATTAAGTGAAGCAATAAAAAAATAAATTGGCGTACAACAGTACGCCCAACGAAAATATGTAATCCACCATTTTGTTGGCGGCCATTTTGGATTTTCTATAATGAACTCTTTTCTACTAGTCAAACCCTTTCATTTGATACCCATATTGAAGTAGTTGTGAAAAAATAAGTAATCCGCTGTTGTGTAGCGGCGTCGATCTTGGATATACAATGATACTGAATGTATGTAGTGTATGCATAGTCGATTCGCTAATCTCAGACACAACTATCTAGTATCTTAGTAATTATTTTATTGCGAAAGTTGGTTACATTTTAACAGACTAGAACTGGATGACAATTACTATATTTACAACCAAGCACATATGCCCATAGCCAATATTAAGAGTAAACAGACATAAATCTTACTCCAATCAATCATTATTTATTTACACCATAATATAATTTCACAACAGACAACGGAAGATTTGACCAATAATTTAAAGGTAAATGCTCCAAATATACATTTCTACTTCAAGAAGTTAAAGGTTACGGAGTACCAAGCAAGCTTTAAAGTTTCATATCCATTGGATTATAAAAATGAAGTTCTCAATCCCAGTATCTGACCTGAAGGTTCAATTGTTCGTCGTTTTGACTTCAAGTATAAGAATTGTACTAACCGCAGTTAACAACAAAACCAGAAATAATTGTTACAAATCCGGCTTAGGCAAACTAGATACTACAAATAATTTTAAAGGCAATACCAATCAACTAAAAATCGTATGTATTAACTCTGAATCTATTGTAAACAAAATAAATTGTATCGAAATATTAGTTTAAACTGAAAGTCTGGATTTACTATGTATATCCGAATCATGTGTAATGACAATAATATAAATTTGTTTTATCTTCCTAATTCTCTCTTGTAATGATTCGTAATACTTTTTTGATTATTTTTTAGGTTATTACATTTTTATATTTATAGAAATATACTCGTACAATAGTTACTTCTTGATTTTTTATTTGTTTTAGTCGAATATCGTTTACTCCAATATTCGACTTTAAAGGAAAAATGTAATTTTAATAGGTTTCCAAGACATTAACAATCGATATCAATATAAAGTTTCTGGTTTCTCAGTCTCACCCAAAGAGAATTGGAATTTTTAGAGTTTGTGAAATTTCTGTGGCAGTTACAATGGCTTTGTTATTTTTCAATTATATTACGAAAGATAATTTATTAGGAAATTCCACGACGAACAAATTATATCTTGTATCAACACAAGCCAAAAAGAATCGGTGTATTAATGTATTATCAATGTCAACATCAGAATAAACAAAAAAGTATTTTCATCTATGGTTCCATCAATACGATTTTCACCATTACTTTGCGTTGTGCAATGTATTTGCAACCTTTTGTAAATCAAAAATAATTACACCATTTAGAATGTCAACAAAAGCCGGCCCTGCATGTAATTATTTTTTCAGTGCAATATTTCATATTTATTGAAAGTCAACATAAATGCTCAATTTTATTTAAGAATTTATATTGTGTAATATGCCCACTGACTATTAGTAAATAAGGTGCTTTCCTGTCATTTTCACTCGTTGGCGGCTTGCCCACATAAGATCAAAGGAGTGTCGCTTCTCTGCGTTCGTAGTTCTCTGCAGTAAACACATACAGTAGTTAAAAACACAAATAAAAAAGCTAGGTCTGGAAATTAACACAGGAAAAAACAAAAATAATGATACAGATGAGAAGAAATATAGTCCCACACAACATTATACCTGAAAATGACATTGAAACAGTTGGAAAGTTTACATACCTGTGAGTAGAAATATATGCCCACAGATCAGAAGATGGAGAAATAAGGAAGAGAATAACGTAGGCAAACAGAGCTTATTTTGCCCCCTCCCATATTTGCATCCACCGAAATACAAAGATAAGAATCTATTAAACCTCAATTTGACCATTAACATGTAATGGCAGCGAAGCATGGGTCCTGAAAGAAACATCCAAAAGTAAACTCGACACATTTGAAAGGAAAGTACTGAGAAAAATACTAGGAACTGTGAGGAAAATTGGAATCTTCAGAAGTTGATACAATAACAAGCTTTATCAACTTTATAAGGAAGCACCAATTTTATAATACAAAGATTATAATGGGCCGGACATGTGATAAGAATGGGAGAGGATAGGATACCAAAAAGAGCACTGAATGCTAGAATGCAGGAAAAGAGACCAATTGGAAAGACAAGAAAGCACTGGGAAGACACAGTAAACAGCAACTCACAAGCCCTTTAAGGAGTCAGTGTATGGAGAAGATTAGCCACAGACAAGCATGGCTGAAGGCAAAAAATAACGAAGAAGAAAAAGCTTTCAATAATGAGTAAACAATAGAAACATGCTACATTCAAAGGTACTCCAATATTATTCATAAAAACAAGAATAGCAAGGGTCATCACTGTGACTCTTGAGGTACACCTGAAGTTATTATGAAGTTATTATGAAAGTTGGAAATTAAATTTGTAAGGATGGATTCACCACCTAACAGATCATATTGCTGATATAAGATTCAGGACAGAAATGGTATTAATTTTTCAAAAAGCTTAAGAATTATTGTTAACTTAAAAATGTTTTTAAAAAATACTTCAATACAAAAATGCCTTAGAGATACCACCAAAAACTTCCTGTAATGAAAAATTAATAGAAGCTACATGAACAGAAAATGTCACATTACTTAGAGAGTCCTACATATCAATAATTATGTTATTATTATACTCCAGCAAAGAAATCATGAAATGAGTCTTATGTGTGATCTCTTAAGTTATCATATACTTTAGCTGTCCTTCTGAGTTTTACCAAGAAGCATATCAGTAGTGGAGAATTTATTTTTTATTTATCATATGACATATTTAAACACATAATTAAAAGCAATGATGTATCATTAAAGGATATTGTATTAGGATGTACAGAATCTTTTTTCAGTGATATGAAACTGTTCCAAAATAAACTAAGAAATGGAAAAGGGACTAGGTGAACACTCTCATTGATCCTACAAAAATACCTCTGAACAACATTATTTTCAAATAAGTTTACACTGCATCCTTAAATTAGCAAAAATGTTAACCTATAAAACTACAACTTTTGATCTTTTTGAGGTACAACACAACTAACTGTATTCATAATGATTTGATAAAAGTTTTCATTAAGGTTTCAATGTTATTTAAGTTTAGGAAATTGTCCCAATCATAAACATTTATTAAGACCAATATAATTTGCAGTTTGAAAATCAAAATGGTATTCCTCAAACTTCAATTGTTTTAATGGATTTGTTATATTTAGTATCACATTATAGATGGTGGTTATTAGAAAGCAATAAATGAAAAGCTTTGGTATTAAGAGCTATAGAATGTTTGTTATGAAAATATAAGATGTAACAAAGCACTAATGTTAACAAGATTTAATTCAATTACAATGTCATTGATTGGGGTTCAAATAGGAAAGGGTTTCTGACTGACTAATAGTATCTACAACAATCACGTATTAGATTATCCATGAAAATACATTCATTACACAAACAAAAATATTGTGAAAAATGTTTTGTGGCTATATAAAGTAGAAAGTAACTTAAACTGCATCATTTGTGATAGTGTTTCAGATAATTATTAATGTACATATCACTAATAGTGATAGTGAAACCTTAAAAGATGACATGGAAGACATTTGAAATAGACATTTCATTTCTCAACTAGTAAAATAATGTAATTAGGAAAATAGTTTTATCTTTAAAAAAACAGACGCCCATGCAGCTCTCTGTGGTACTTTAAAAAAATATTCATATTGTCCATTAAAGATTAACAACCTAAGGGATGTACTCATTTATCAACCTACCTTCATTGCCAATAACTTCTGCTTTTTTCATGCATGTTGAGTGGGCCGGTAATTCAGGAGTGTTTCCCCAAAAAGCTTTACCATCAGTCCAACGTTTCTGTTCTGCAATAAGAATTTCACTCATCTTTGATCTATTTTGATTCCATGCTAGCTTTACATCATCAGCTCTCTTATACCTTTTAATCTGTCGCAACCTCATGTATTCCTGCTTAACTCTTCTCTTCCAGTCCACCCCGACTTTAGCTTTTGCCATTTTTTAATATTAATAGGTAGGTACCCTGTTAAAGATCAGCAGTAATTGTTAATAGATATACAATGTGGTAGGACGACGCTACCCCTTTTAAGAGGATATAGTCACATTCAGATAGTTGAAATAAAACGAGAGTAAATACATACAAAAAACCATACTTTTTCCTTTCTTCTAATATGTAGTACAATTATCTTTCCATAATTAATAACTAAATTATATTATATTATTACACCTACTATAAACACCCTTCCCACTAAATTAAGTTGACATATTGACATTTAACTTTGACATGACCATATGACAACCTCTACTTCTACCACCGTTGTTCGGTGCCTCTACTCAAGAACGTTTGACTACAATCTGTGTTATAGGTGTTGTCACAGAATAATAAACAATCAGAATGCCCACTCTCAGATGCCGCCTTTGAAGTTCTTCAGCACGCGCGCCATGTTTAAGAAAGAAAGAAAGGATGATTTGTGAGGTTATGTAATTGTTTATATTTATGTTTAATTATATTAAATTTATGTTATTATATTTAACAATGTTAATATAATTGTATAGTATGTCCATGATTGCCGTAAGTCAATTAAACCGGGTTAATTTTTCTATGCACACCACATAACAACACTGGTTCCCTCTAAAACATGGCGGAACGTCTGCGCGAAAGAGATGCGCGTACTTAATTTTCCATGGAAAGCGGGCATTCTGATTGTTTATTATTCTGTGGTTTTGTGTTTAGTGTCCTTGGCCTCTACCTCTACGTGCCTCTCCACTACCCTCTACTGCTTCTTTCTACCGTTAAATCTCATACTTGTTCCTGGCTTAATAAACGTAAAGGTAGAGACCGTGTATGTGAAACAATCATTTCATTGTAATTTAAATTTTTAGAGATTAATAATTTAGTAAATTTGAAATAATTTAAATTATTCTTCAACTAAAAGTACGAATAAAATAGTGCATATTATGTCTATAGTTTCCGTAAATAAATTAAACCGGGTTCATTTTTCTATGTACAATAGATAAAATTTTACTGAACAGCACTGGTTCCGTTTAAAACATGACTGAGTCTCTCTGCGCGAACGAGATGCGTGTACTTACCTTGACAAGCAGAGTGGGCATTCTGATTGTTTATTTCTGTAACAAAGGTAAGTAACAGATAGATATAAAAGAAATGTAGTTAAATTAGCACGCAAGACGTATAGAATGAGTTGGAAAGTATGATAAGAGTTGAATAAAAATAATTTATAAAAGTTAGTACAAAAAATGTAAAAATGTAATACAATAAATGATAAATGTAATATATATTGTCATGATATGTAAAAGCGAGAAAAATATTGATTTGCTAAATATATTTCAAATTACTATTTATAACTGGGAATAAGCCACAATTAAAGATAAAAAATACGTTTATTGACGTTTCAATTTCCAATTCGGAAATCGTTCTCAAAATACAAACAGTAAATTAAACAAATTTTGTTTTTTGTTACATAGTGAAAAAATTCTTCTAATAATTTAATTTTATCTGACTCATTTATATTGACAATTCAGACATACATTATGCATTTTAAAGTAGAGGACTTTAAAATGGTATTGCCAATATTGTTGAGTTGCGCTCCTGGGACGACTTTACTATAAGATAGTTCATTCGATTACATGAAATCAACTTTAACTTGAGAATATCCGTCAGAAAAAATCATAGCATGTAATTCGTCTTTAAAAAGACAAACACATGACATGATGACAGTAAAATTCTCCCGTTAGTGATTCCATAGTAAATTATGAGGGAAAAACCAGGAAAAAACCTCATAATACTATCCCGACATTGTAAGTATTTGTTCGTGAATTTAGTTTACCTTCAACAAACATCAAAATTCTGATTTTATATGTTACGTTATTTAAAAAACATAAATGATGTATCCTCTATATGTTACTGACTTACTAATACTAGTATTTTCTTATTAATAACTTCCTCTTTCAATATTGGTAACCAGATCCTACTACATTCTGCCGAGGAATTTGCGACACAATTGGCCTCATTTAGCATAATTAGAGCCGCTTCTTTGATTTTTCTTTTTTTACCATCCGTTTCTTTTAGGACTATATTTGAATTATTCCATTGAACCCTATGTTCATTATCCCATGCGTGTTTATATATTTGAGATCTATCAAATTCTCTATTTTTAATATAAGATTGATGTTCACTTATTCTAACATTTAATGGCCTTGATGATTCACCTAAATAAAACTGATCGCATTCACAAGGTATTTTATAAATGCAATTCTTTGTCCTTTCTTGTTCATTGTTAGGTTTGGTTTTGGACAAAATAGATCTCAACGTGTTTGTTGTTTTGAATGTTGTTGAAATGTTGAATTTATTTCCTATCCTTTTAAGTTTTTCTGATAATCCTTTTATGTACGGTATTGTTACTTTCCTCATATTATTCCTTGTGTATGCTGTAGGATCTCGTTCTAAGTTGTTCTGTTCTATTCGATCGATTGTTGAAAATTCCTTATTTATAAACGATAAAGGATAATCATTTTTTAATAAAACAGATGTTAACAAATGTTTCTCCTCCAAGAACGAATTTTCGTTAGAGCAAGTAATTTTGGCTCTATCGTATAAGGATTTAATTATTCCCTTTTTTACATTAATATTATGAGACTCAGGTGTATAGAAAACCAACACACACCAATAGATATTTAAATTTCAAATCAAATCATAATATTAATGTAAAAAAGGGAATAATTAAATCCTTATACGATAGAGCCAAAATTACTTGCTCTAACGAAAATTCGTTCTTGGAGGAGAAACATTTGTTAACATCTGTTTTATTAAAAAATGATTATCCTTTATCGTTTATAAATAAGGAATTTTCAACAATCGATCGAATAGAACAGAACAACTTAGAACGAGATCCTACAGCATACACAAGGAATAATATGAGGAAAGTAACAATACCGTACATAAAAGGATTATCAGAAAAACTTAAAAGGATAGGAAATAAATTCAACATTTCAACAACATTCAAAACAACAAACACGTTGAGATCTATTTTGTCCAAAACCAAACCTAACAATGAACAAGAAAGGACAAAGAATTGCATTTATAAAATACCTTGTGAATGCGATCAGTTTTATTTAGGTGAATCATCAAGGCCATTAAATGTTAGAATAAGTGAACATCAATCTTATATTAAAAATAGAGAATTTGATAGATCTCAAATATGTAAACACGCATGGGATAATGAACATAGGGTTCAATGGAATAATTCAAATATAGTCCTAAAAGAAACGGATGGTAAAAAAAGAAAAATCAAAGAAGCGGCTCTAATTATGCTAAATGAGGCCAATTGTGTCGCAAATTCCTCGCAGAATGTAGTAGGATCTGGTTACCAATATTGAAAGAGGAAGTTATTAATAAGAAAATACCAGTATTAGTAAGTCAGTAACATATAGAGGATACATCATTTATGTTTTTTAAATAACGTAACATATAAAATCAGAATTTTGATGTTTGTTGAAGGTAAACTAAATTCACGAACAAATACTTACAATGTCGGGATAGTATTATGAGGTTTTTTCCTGGTTTTTCCCTCATAATTTACTATGGAATCACTAACGGGAGAATTTTACTGTCATCATGTCATGTGTTTGTCTTTTTAAAGACGAATTACATGCTATGATTTTTTCTGACGGATATTCTCAAGTTAAAGTTGATTTCATGTAATCGAATGAACTATCTTATAGTAAAGTCGTCCCAGGAGCGCAACTCAACAATATTGGCAATACCATTTTAAAGTCCTCTACTTTAAAATGCATAATGTATGTCTGAATTGTCAATATAAATGAGTCAGATAAAATTAAATTATTAGAAGAATTTTTTCACTATGTAACAAAAAACAAAATTTGTTTAATTTACTGTTTGTATTTTGAGAACGATTTCCGAATTGGAAATTGAAACGTCAATAAACGTATTTTTTATCTTTAATTGTGGCTTATTCCCAGTTATAAATAGTAATTAATTTACAATGCCACAAGAAAATAGCTTCAGAACAATATATATTTCAAAGTTCAAAATAAAATAATTCGACTAATAAACCACAAAAGATATTTCAAAGAAGTGAAAGTCCATTATCTTTGGATTACATGTATTAAACAAAATTTAAGATATGCATAAATTATTTTCTTTGTAAAATATATTCGAGTAAAATTAGTGAAACCGGGGACAATGGAAGTGGGTTTTCCAAATGGACTTGTAGAGTAATTAGGACAATATAATAGATGTTTAGAAATATATTTCTCTGTTAGTTCTTAAGAATTTGTAGAAACCGATTAACCGATATTAATAGTTTTTAGGAAATTTATAATTGTAGGTAAAATTATTGTTTGTTGTCTAAATGAAGAGATGGGGAATTGTGGCGAGCCTTTGATTGGATGAGATTGAAAAAGGTGGGATGGTTTGTAAGAATGAGACTTTAGCTAGCTTTTTGAGGGAAAAAAGTTGGGCAGTTGTTTTCCAAGTGTGCAAGGCGAACAGTCATTGTTTTCTGGTGGTTCTCGAGAGGTAGCAAGCAGTAGAAGTGAATGTTAGTGAGTTTTTCGTGGAGTTAGTGTATCTGACAGAAGCTGATCCAGTAAAATATTGTAAGTTATATTTTTCTACTTATATTCCAAGAGTCACTGTTCAGGCCAGAACGAGAGATTCAGTTTATCGAGAGGAGAAGAGGCAAGCATAATTTGAACGATTCGTGCATTTGAAGGAGATCATTAAGGACGATAAACTTGCAACAATTTGTTGTAAGATTGCTGATTACCTAGGGAGCTGCTAAGAATAGATAGTGTAGGCTACAAGGAACAAGGATTTGGACCACTCATCATCATAGAGGGATAGTTTTGTTTTTCTGTAGTTTTTCTTTTATTGATAACACAATTTTACAATTACTTTAGAAAAGATATAAACATTTTGATTAGGAGATTTAGAATAATAATTGGGATTTTGAGATTTTAACTAATATTGTTTGTACCATTAATTTTGAAGGTTCACGTACGTAGAACAAAATTTTGAGAATCATTATATGAGATATTGATTATTGAAAACATTTGAGTGTGAATTTTATTTCATTATTTTTATTTCAATATATAATGTTATATCATATATGTTTTTTATTATTCCGGTATTCTTTGGACCTTACCTTTCACATGTAAAGCATAGATATTGAAGCACGAATATAACCCTGAGATAAGAGAATTAAAAAGTGTGATAGAATCATAATCATATCATTTAAAT